GCAGGTGGCACGTGAGCCCATCAGCGGCCATCTCCGTGTTAGCGCCGCCGGCCAGCCGCTTGGGACAGATGTCAAGGGAATAATTCTTGGGCTGCATTTCAGCAAAACAAACCAAAAAAGCACCCCGGGGGAGGAGATGCACTCAGATCGCGGGGACCTTCGGGGGAGGCGGGAACGACCAGGCCGGCCTCCTGGGGTTCAGGCCACGTCCCGTGTCTTGACCTGGTCAAGGCTATGCGGTATTTATTAGTGACAGCCGCCAGGATGTGGAGCGGTATTTCACAATGAGAGGGTTGCGCACGCGCATGCGCGAACACCGACAGTCATCGCCGGGCGTGGACCACGCCCGTTCCCGTCTGCGTCCGTGCGTGCTCCCGTGTCCGCCCCTCTCTACCTGCACCTGCGACTGACTGCCCGTGAATCGCGTGACCGTGTCTGCGCAGACCCAGCACCCTGCTTCTGCTTGGGGACAGGAAGATCGCAAAGCTCCGACTCTTCCTCCTTCCTGTGGGGCCGGCACAGAACGAGCTCCTTTGGGGCTCAGGCCCCTCGGCCCCGAGGGGCCGAGCGCGGGATCATCGACACGGCTGACGTCTGTTGCAGAACTTTTCTCCGTTTTCGTTGGAGACGTCCGCCATTCAGCCCAGAGCGGGCAGGCAGGGAGGGAGCACGCGGGTCTCTAACTGAAGCCTCTGTGATCCGCTAAAAGGCTGGGGACGAAGTGATTGCAGATGAGCCTCGGGCAGCCCTAGGGACGGGGGACAGCCCTGGATTTGAGAGCTCAATAACACATCACCACGACAACACGCCGTCTCCCGCAGCTGACATGATTAACTGAAGGACACTGTGCTCAGAGCTCTTTGCTAATGCATAGGATGTCCCTGTCCCCACCTAAAACATAGGATGTCCCTGTCCCCACCTAATGCAAAGGATGTCCCTGCCCCCAGCTGTGCCCCCCTGGAAGGAGCTCCCTTTATGCAGCAGGTGTGCGAGCCCCTGGACTTGCAGAGACTGCTGCGCCCCCTCCACACGCACAGGTGACACAGGGATGTGATTCTGACCATTGGTGACAGACAAAGAAAGAACACACAGCCCGTCTCCTGCTGTCCGCTCTCCCTCTGGGGGCCCACGGCACACGGAGGCCTGCACAGCCCGCGGAGCTGGGAGCAGAGCCGCCGTCCTCCAGGCACCACGTGAAGCTGGCAACCAGAGAGACAGCCAGGCAGGGCTGCAAGGTGCCTGGGACGTGGGGTCCCGTGAGACGGGGGTAGCTGAGGGCAGAGGTACAGTATCAAGTACCAAGGACCGGGGGCGTGGCCTGGGGAGGAACGGGCAGCCCCTGTGCCCACAGCTGCGTGGGGGAGCCTGGGATGGACCTGGCCTCACTGCCGTGGGCCCCTGACCTCCTGCCGAGCCTCCAGGGGCCAAACCTCCTGGGGACCAGAGGGCAGGAATCCTGGTCCACTCCCTGCAGACCAGCCCCGGGGCACAGCAAGCGCAGGAGGGGTGGCACGGGAGGGGCGATGGCCAGCGTCCACTCAGCCCGTCTCCTGCTGTCCGCTCTCCCTCTGGAGGCCCACGGCACACGGAGGCCTGCACCGCCCGCGGAGCTGGGAGCAGAGCCGCCGTCCTCCAGCTCAGAGGCACGGGCCCTGGGCCGTGGGGGACCCAGGACACTCACAGGCCACACATCCCCAAGGAAATCACAAATCGCCTGTGACACTCTAGACCACGTCACCGGACAAGGGGACGGGACGGGCACCCCCAGCCCAAGCAGACGGGGATGACCCGACGTGTCCCCTCATTGTCCTCTGGACACCCTGTGCCCCGGAGACGCTGCTGCACCTCCGTGCGGCACAGGGTGCCTGAGCGGAATTTTAACGAGGAAGGACAAACCCAGGTCTCCAGCATCTTCCCTCGGATGCATTTCTAATTAACCACCTGCCCTCACTCGCTCGGTGCCACCAAATGCGGAACAAAACCGGACGCACTTTCACATTGGCAGCTGGGGGAGGGGCCAGGCTGCACGATGCCTGTGGGTGGGGGGACCTGAGTGCCACCCACGGACCCTCTCCCCAAGTCCCTGCTGATTGCCCTCACCAGTGACATGGAAGGTGACCTGTCACAGGACAGGGAGGACAGTTTCCAGTTATGGTGGCTGAGACGGCAGGATGGGACACCCAGGGGGGAGGCACAAGTGTCCTCCACACCCTTGGAAAGCAGAGGCTCGGGGCAGTGACCACGGCCTGGGGCCTGGCCTGGAGGGCGCGGCGAGTGTCCCGGGCCCCAGGGGTGGGGGTGGGCCACGGGGGGCGGGCAGCAGGGGCGGACTAGCAGGGAGCAGAGCGTGTCTGGCCCCTGGGTGGCCCACACAGCCGACCCAGGCCTAGAAGCCCCTGTCCTGTCCACCCGCCAGTCCCATTGGGATTCCCGTCCCTGGGACCCCGGAATTCTGCATGGGGGTCAAGGGGCGAGTATTCCTGGCCCTGGAAACCAGGAGCTCCTCGACCAACAAGAGGGAGTGGGAACCAAACTATGGAAGGAAAAGAGCCGGACAGCCCCCAGGCCCCGCCCCATCTGCCCAGGCCCCGCCCCA